TTCCCAGATCGCCAGATCGTTGAAATTAAGGGGTATTTTACCGGAGGGGGTCACAAGTAAAACCTGACTCACATTAAGTGGTTAACCGAAAAAATGACGAAAATATATTTGGTTTTGGGATAGATCTAATGGTTCTGGACGATATAAAATACAAGGTTTTTTTTCTCTCTTTTAAGATGGGTACCAATATCATTTTCTATCACTAATTCGAAGTAATATATCGCTATTTATTATACCGCTATTAATTAAGATTATAAAACACATTTGTATTTACCGTTATTTGTTTTTAGGAACGAAAAAATGAGTAACACTAATGAAATATCTACCACTAAAGCTAACGAACCTAATGTTTCCAAGACCAGCAAAAGTAGTGTTTCTGTGACTAGTGAAAGAAATGTTATTAAGATCAATTATCCTGTTGACCCAAAATCATCTAAATCAGGAACTGTGGAAACTATTCAAACTCGTGAGTAAATTTCTTAATATATAATTATATTTGCTTTATGTGATCAAGGCTTCAGTCAGAATAATATTTGTTGAGATTGAGTTCTTTGTGTTTACTTTATTAAAAATAGGCAAGGAAGAAGTAAGACAAGGTGATGCATGAGCATCTCGTACTGAAATTGTGAGAACAGTATCTAATGCCAATTCACTGGTAGATAGTAATAGTTTATTAAAATTATTAGATAAAAAATGAGTATAAAGAACATAGTCTCTACTTATATTCATATAATGTAACTGTTGTTCGGCAATTTTTAAAATAAAGAAATGATGTGAAGCATCGAGTCTTTGACTCTTCTGCTATATATGTGAATTTGTATATAATATTGCACTACTGATTTCGAAGTTACAATGTAATTATAATTATTTTTAAATTGGATTTTTATTCACTTTATATATTTACTCAATTATTACTTAACATGTCGAGCTCTAGTAATATCGAGCTAATAGAATTATTTTATATTCTATATAAAAAAAAATTCAAAACATATGGTCTATTCGATGTCAATATCGATTAATCAAACTCTAGTATTTATAATCATATCGAATTAGATAAATATTATTATATTTCAATATTTTATGCTATATGTTCTTCGACTAAAAATTCTATCTCTGGTTTAAGTTTTACATTCATAGCTCTTTTTTCTGCATCTATATGAGGAATATTTCTATTAATCATATCTTTATATGCATTAATTCTCCAATGATCATATGGCAAGCTCAAGATTTTATCAGATAATACCTATCTTTTATCATTAATAGGAGCTGTCGCTTTTTTCTCTGATTCCATTAAGGATAATACATGATTTTTTGATCGAATACCTATATTTTTTGCATAAAATACTTCATCATTAAAGAGACAATCATGATATACTTGTGTTATAGGATCAAATACTTTATTTTTATCTATTGGACTATCTAATAATGAATTGGCTAATGTTGGCATATATGTTTCTAAAGCCATATCATTTATACCTTTCTTACTAACTCCTTTATGCTTTGATTTTGTAGTTTTATCACCTAGTACATAATGATAAAGTTTTGAGTGGATATAATATGATTTTGTAATTATATTATCAGAATACTCATTCTTGTATTTACCAATAGTCTGATCTCCATTAAGATTAAAGATATCAGGTCTTTCATCCATATCCTTATAAATATCTTCAGTTTCAATTTCAATTATAAAGGAGTCGGTATCCATATATCCAAGTTTAGCATTGTTGCCATATCTTTCTTTTATATATCCATACCAGAATTGATACATATGAAGTTTACTAAGACCTAATACTGATGCTTCGACAAGAATAGGTTTGTTAAGAGTTACACTTGCTTTTCCCATATGCGCTCCTATAAGTGTTGGTCCAAGTCGTCTGGCATATTTAAAAAATGGTTTACGAATCTTTTTTATAAATGCTTTTTCATCTTGATTATCAATCATTTTCATAATTTTGATATCTTGATATTTGTGAACATTTTCCATAGTTTTGCCAAATATTACATTATTCATAAGTTTGAAGAAATCACTTAAAAATGTATTTCCGGTTTCTTTTGCTTTATTCCGTTTTTCAGTATTAAATACTATATAAGAAGCAAGCCAATTGGTTTGATCAAATAATAAAATCTCTATAATTTTATCTATTATCATACCTAATTTTATATAATATTGAAGTTCTAGATAATGAATAACATAATCTTTTCATGGTCTAAGATGTGAAACTAATTTTTTGGTTTTAATAAAGTGATCATTATCTATAAGATCTGTATTGTGAGGGCTTAACCAACTTTTTTCAACTGCAATATTTTCTACAGCAGGTGATAAATCACTAAGATAATCATATGTTTTTAATAGAAAATGAGCATTAATTTTTATAAAACAACCACGTTTTGAATCCGGTCTAATTTTGAGAATTTTATTAAGCCATTTTTTTTGATATTCTTTATTATTTTTAAAATGCGCTTCTTTTCCTTCCCATATAAAATTTCCAATAGGCAAATATTGACTCATTGAATGCCCATAAAGATTTGTAGCATCAAAATATGAAATCCATTTTGTAGGTTTAGAAGAATTAAAATCATTACCCATCTTGGAATTATTAGCTTCAAAATATCGATGACATGCTATAGATATACCACTACGTTTAGCTTTTTCCGCAAAATCATGCATAGCCATATCTGTAAATAATTCGATTTTAACTTTAGTCATCTTAAGCATTGCATTCCAAGATAAAGCTGGTGCTGATATATAATGACTAGGATCAAGTTTATAATATTGTATACTAGTTTTTCGAAAATTTGTCCAGACATTAGCCAAACTAAGTACATCTGTTTTAAGATAAAGATCATGATAATCACCAAAATTTCTACAATTAAATTCATTCCATACTTTTTGAGCATATTTATAGTCATTTTGAGAAATTTTTCCATTAAAATATGTACTAAATTCATGAATTGGTGGAAGTTCCGTTTCTAAAAATCTATCTTGTGAATCGATATATTCATAGGGATAAATCCCTTTACGATATACTAATGCAATTTGCTTATTTGTATAATCTTGATCTATAAAATGCTTAGTTATTATCAGATGATTATCACCTAAATTTTTTGTAAGAGATGATAAACCACTTTTCATAAATTGGTAACTATCGATATATTTAAACTGTCCTACTTTCATTGATTTATAACTCTCAAATGTTTCTGCAATAACCCTAATTTGGCTGGCATTAACAGATCTTCCAATAGATTCACAGACTAGGTGGGAATCATAACCTCGGAAATTATGAAAAACAATCGGAATAGGGGTTTTCCATGGTTCGATTTTAAGTTTGAGATTGCAATGATTATGAGCAGAACCATGGAATTTTTCACTAATATGACAATGATCCCAAACCTTACTATTCATATCTAATTCTATATCAATTTTTTCATTTAACTTATTAATTTTTTTCCATATCGGTATATATTTTTCATTATCTTTTGATATTTTGCTTAATATTTCATTAAGTTTTTTATATTCATTTTTCAATTTAAATATTTTATTTTTATCTATAGCAAATTTATATTCACAGATCCAGCATATATCAGATTCATTAAATTTTTTTATATCATTTTCAGATATAATTCGGTCATGTTTTATAGCCAAGACTTTATTAATTTTAATTAATTCATTATCCATTCTTTTAACAAATTCTTGAGTGGCATTTTCACCTCGATATATGAAAGGTCCCCATATATCCCCAGTGTCAATCCAATGAACTAGATATCCAAAACTGTTGGCTTTTTGCTCAAATATTTTATGCATTTTTCCATCATATTTTTCGTCACATTTCTTATTATCAGCCTCAAAATCAGCTATAATAACACATGGTGCATTAATCATTCTAGCATAATTTGTAAACTCTTCAAAGTTATTAACACCTTCTATAGGTAATATAACTTTTTGGGGTGCTTCTCCATGTATACCAGGGCACCAATCTTGATGCTTGATTAATGTTGTTTCTGTTGGAGAACTTTGAGTACAGCCATGACATAAATATTTTTTTCCATGATGTACCGTATCTTTGAAAGCTAAGCCATTTACATTCTTTATTCATAGAAAATGATTCTTTTGTTCGTATTGGTCTGTAGCTTCTGATTTATTTATATCTGTAAGAGCCATGAGATGGATATGATGTTCTCTTTTATAATTTTTACTAGCAATTATGGTTTTTGATATAATAGTTTTTTCTTTCCATTCCCAAACTGTAATTGCGATATTTGGATTCATATCCTCAATTTTTTTAAATATATGTGAGCAAATTGATGTAGGCATTGAAATATTATCTAAATTAACAATATCCAAGTATTTTTTATATTCCTTTTTAGTAAATATTTGATCAAGATGGTAGGTATGTCCATCTTTATTAGCAAAGTAACAAGCTAATGCACCTTGAATGCAATTATCAGATGGT